GCTTGCAACAATAAATACTTCAAGTTAAAATGTCCTCTGATGCCGATCTAATGGATCAATACAAAATATTTTTATTCATCAGGCCAAAGTGCGATTCAAGATCCCACAAAATGTACATATTCTGAATTGTCAAAAATGACTGAATCTTTAACTAATTATCATTCAAATCACAGGAAATTCATTTTCATTCACTTTCGTTCTCTGTCATAATCAGTCACATGAATGAAAGTGAACAGGTATGTGTGTATGTACATATGTATGTACATACAGATTTCCATAATTTCGCAAAATTATGGTGATTAAAAACAAGAACGATTATGCAACTCAACTCAAACTATTTTTATTCTGCTTGCCAAAGTGTAACCCAACATCCCACAAAATGTACATATTCTGAAATTGTCTACCAATCCATTTGAAACGACACCCTATTTATGGTGCACTTTGACCTTTGACCTATCGCCCCCAAAGCGGACCGTGGGGGTCCGTTTTGAATTAAAAGTGAGCCTACATAGTTCTAGTCGTAAAGAAATACCACATATACAAAATTTGGGGGAATTGAACTCATGAACATTTTCGCATATTATTGACCTTTCAAACGCCCTTGAGAGGTCAGTAGTTGGCCGCAGACACCAAGTGTGATACTAATTTTTATTCCTAAGGCCAGCAGCTACTCAAAAATATATGACTTTTGGCGTGTCGATAGGGAACGATAGTTGACCTTTGACCTAGATTTGTGTGACCTTAGGGATCCGGGCTATGCCAATTCGTGTTAAGCTCGTCAAAATGTAAAGAAATTTAAAGAAATTTGTCGGCAGAAAGGTTTCCCGTAAAAACAAGATTTTTATTTTGGGTACAATATCGTAATTCGTCCAAAATTCACGCAATTTTCGCTTGACACCCTGTTTTTGGTCATGAAATATGTGGTTCGAAATTATCTGTAAGGATTTTTCCAAGTTTTTTTCCACGTGGGCTTTCCTACATACTTGTTGAGTTTATGTTTGAATAAGGCTTTAGTAATTTATGACCGGAAATGGGTTTTGCATTATGTTGAGGGACCTAAGCGTGCTTTGAGGTCAAATCTCTCTAGGGGACATATCGCGGGACGGTGTTCCCTCTGTTATCGACGGATCTCGATGCCCTTTGGATATGTTGTAGTACTAATATGGTACTTGAACCGTGTGGGAGGGTTTGGTCACATGAGGTCATTTGAACCGGCCACGCCCCCCGGTTTGGGCAAAAAAATGAAAAATCTCAGTTTTTCCTCGTTAAAAAGGCAATAAAAATAAATTTCATATTGATAGAGGTTGACAATGCTGTAATTGAAGTAGGCCCCCCTACAGCCCGACTTATTTTTATCCAGTGACCCCAACCACACCCACTTAGACCTGGAAAAACGAGAATTTGAGTTACAAATTTTTTAAAAAATCTAATTTCGATCTGATTCTGTCAAATTTTATATTTTCTTGAACCGAGAGAGCCATTTTATCATTCGTTTCAGCAAATCGAGTGTTTTTGAGATATGCAAAAAATATTTTCATGCATTTCTGGTCGCGGAAAAAATTGAATTAAATTAATTGAATTGGATGTTGGCCGTTAGAAATAGCATACCTATCTGGAAATGCATTCCTGATATTTTGCTGGATTTTTTAAGGATAATTGAAATGTGATTGAAGGGATTACCCATCGAGAACTGATCTTTTGCCCAAAACTAAAATCTGGAGAGCAAAACCGCTCCTAAATCATGTGAGATTCAACCATTTCGACAAATCCGAGCAAATAGGGTTAGCCATACCTGTTCACTTTCACTCATGTGACTGATTATGATGGAGAATGATGCTTAATGAAAATGAATTTCATGTGATTTAATGAAAATGAGTGAAAGATTCCGTCATTTCGGATGAGTGACTGTCAATGAATAGATTTCTCATTCATTTCACTTTTCACCCTATGCTTAGTACATGGGGCGAGTTAGAAATGAAGTGAGATAAAGTGAATTTAAATTAGTTTGAAAGAAAATGAGTGAGTGTGAATGAAAATCTGAAGTCAGAAATCGGGATGACTGAACTTTGAATGAGAAAAGGTTTTTTGAACAGGTATGCATACATATTTCTTGCCGAAAGATTGTTGTTGCCAGGGTTTCGTTTTTTCCGTTCAAAACAACTTTTGTGTAAAAGTGACTGATTATGATAGAGAATGATAGTGAATTTGAATTTTTGAATTTTTGAATTTTTGAATTTTTGAATTTGAAAATTCAAAATTTTCATAATACTGTGGACTTACTTTAAAGGTGCTCTTGACTTAACCACAATCTCAAAGCTTGCGGGGCAGTGTTGTTGTTGCATAAAAGCGGGAAAATTTTGAATTTAACGGTTTCAACCCGGGTTTCGATTTGTAACAATCAAATTTACCAGGGCAGTAGGACAAAATGGGAAAATAACACTTTCACCACAACTGTTCAAAAAACTTCAGTCATTTTCATTAAAATTCATTTCATTGCATTTCATGCCACTTCATTCTCACTTCGCCCCATGTATTGAGCTTAGGGTGAAAAATTAAATGAGTGAAAAATTTTTCATTCACAGTTATTCATCTGAAATGATGGAATCTTTTACTCATTTTTATTCAAATCACAGGAAATTCATTTTCATTCACTATCATTCTCTATCATAATCAGTCACTTTTACACAAAAGTTGTTTTGAACGGAAAAAACGAAACCCTGGCAACAACAATCTTTCGGCAAGAAATATGTATGCATACCTGTTCAAAAAACCTTTTCTCATTCAAAGTTCAGTCATCCCGATTTCTGACTTCAGATTTTCATTCACACTCACTCATTTTCTTTCAAACTAATTTAAATTCACTTTATCTCACTTCATTTCTAACTCGCCCCATGTACTAAGCATAGGGTGAAAAGTGAAATGAATGAGAAATCTATTCATTGACAGTCACTCATCCGAAATGACGGAATCTTTCACTCATTTTCATTAAATCACATGAAATTCATTTTCATTAAGCATCATTCTCCATCATAATCAGTCACATGAGTGAAAGTGAACAGGTATGGCTAACCCTATTTGCTCGGATTTGTCGAAATGGTTGAATCTCACATGATTTAGGAGCGGTTTTGCTCTCCAGATTTTAGTTTTGGGCAAAAGATCAGTTCTCGATGGGTAATCCCTTCAATCACATTTCAATTATCCTTAAAAAATCCAGCAAAATATCAGGAATGCATTTCCAGATAGGTATGCTATTTCTAACGGCCAACATCCAATTCAATTAATTTAATTCAATTTTTTCCGCGACCAGAAATGCATGAAAATATTTTTTGCATATCTCAAAAACACTCGATTTGCTGAAACGAATGATAAAATGGCTCTCTCGGTTCAAGAAAATATAAAATTTGACAGAATCAGATCGAAATTAGATTTTTTAAAAAATTTGTAACTCAAATTCTCGTTTTTCCAGGTCTAAGTGGGTGTGGTTGGGGTCACTGGATAAAAATAAGTCGGGCTGTAGGGGGGCCTACTTCAATTACAGCATTGTCAACCTCTATCAATATGAAATTTATTTTTATTGCCTTTTTAACGAGGAAAAACTGAGATTTTTCATTTTTTTGCCCAAACCGGGGGGCGTGGCCGGTTCAAATGACCTCATGTGACCAAACCCTCCCACACGGTTCAAGTACCATATTAGTACTACAACATATCCAAAGGGCATCGAGATCCGTCGATAACAGAGGGAACACCGTCCCGCGATATGTCCCCTAGAGAGATTTGACCTCAAAGCACGCTTAGGTCCCTCAACATAATGCAAAACCCATTTCCGGTCATAAATTACTAAAGCCTTATTCAAACATAAACTCAACAAGTATGTAGGAAAGCCCACGTGGAAAAAAACTTGGAAAAATCCTTACAGATAATTTCGAACCACATATTTCATGACCAAAAACAGGGTGTCAAGCGAAAATTGCGTGAATTTTGGACGAATTACGATATTGTACCCAAAATAAAAATCTTGTTTTTACGGGAAACCTTTCTGCCGACAAATTTCTTTAAATTTCTTTACATTTTGACGAGCTTAACACGAATTGGCATAGCCCGGATCCCTAAGGTCACACAAATCTAGGTCAAAGGTCAACTATCGTTCCCTATCGACACGCCAAAAGTCATATATTTTTGAGTAGCTGCTGGCCTTAGGAATAAAAATTAGTATCACACTTGGTGTCTGCGGCCAACTACTGACCTCTCAAGGGCGTTTGAAAGGTCAATAATATGCGAAAATGTTCATGAGTTCAATTCCCCCAAATTTTGTATATGTGGTATTTCTTTACGACTAGAACTATGTAGGCTCACTTTTAATTCAAAACGGACCCCCACGGTCCGCTTTGGGGGCGATAGGTCAAAGGTCAAAGTGCACCATAAATAGGGTGTCGTTTCAAATGGATTGGTAGACAATTTCAGAATATGTACATTTTGTGGGATGTTGGGTTACACTTTGGCAAGCAGAATAAAAATAGTTTGAGTTGAGTTGCATAATCGTTCTTGTTTTTAATCACCATAATTTTGCGAAATTATGGAAATCTGTATGTACATACATATGTACATACACACATACCTGTTCACTTTCATTCATGTGACTGATTATGACAGAGAACGAAAGTGAATGAAAATGAATTTCCTGTGATTTGAATGATAATTAGTTAAAGATTCAGTCATTTTTGACAATTCAGAATATGTACATTTTGTGGGATCTTGAATCGCACTTTGGCCTGATGAATAAAAATATTTTGTATTGATCCATTAGATCGGCATCAGAGGACATTTTAACTTGAAGTATTTATTGTTGCAAGCTTTCGATATTCATACAGAATTTCTTCATCAGGCAAAAATATATTTGTAAACTAAAATTCATGTGTACGTTTCCTCCTCCAAGTCAAGTTTTGTTTGATATCAAATAATTACATGGTTACATTTATAAATTTTTACGTGGACTTTGAGGGCTATTGTGTATATGTTAAAAAGTTTGTTAGTGTACTTGACCAGATAGGGCTGACTGCGACTCCTCTCGAAATGTTCATCTTGTTAGTGGTACTTTTGATGAACAGTGCTTCTTTAAATTTCCGAAAATATCTTCTAGGTTCTTTTAGAATTAATTTATACGAATTTGGGTCCAAATTGTGTTCATGTTCATGCATGTGTAGAGCAACAGGAGATAATCTTACATTTCCACTTCTAATGGCATGAATGTGTTCCTGAATTCTTGTAGTATAATCACGTCCTGTTTCTCCAATATACTTTGCTGGACAATTACTGCATTGAATTGAATAAATCCCACAATTTATTGTTCTCGGTTTCTCTTTAGTGTTGGTTAGCATTCTGGATAACTTCGGGCCAGGAATGTAACCTATTTTCATTTCTAGTTTTCTTTCTAGAAATCGTGCAATTTTTGTGGTGGTTTCACCTGCCCACGGTAAAATAATTCTTTTGACTGGTTCGTCTAGTGAGTTGTTGTTATTGTTATACTGCATTTTGTTTTTGACTTTCTTCAGTCTGTATTCAATCATTTTTCGTGGGTAATTATTTTCTTCCAAGATTTTGATTGTGTATTTGATTTCATTCTCTAAATGGTCTTCATCTGACAGTCTTAAAGCTCTTGTCAGCAGGGTATCCGTTACGCCAATTTTGTGTGCCGGGGGATGAAAAGAGTGATAATTCAGGTACAAGTTTGTATGCGTAGGCTTCCTGTAAATTTGATGACCAATCGAGTTGTCCGGTTTCTTGTACAGCATGAGATCCAGGAAAGGTAATTGTCCCTGTTGTTCATCCTCAAATGTGAATTGAATGGATTCATGGAACGAATTGATTAGACTTAAAATGTGGCTTTTCCTTCGAATCCTTATTATGGCAAAGACGTCATCCACAAATCTACGCCAGTAGATAATGTTGCGATTGTTTTTGACAAGCTTTTTTTCCAATTCTTGCATAAATATTTCTGCGACTATTGGTGAGATGGGGGATCCCATAGCGGTACCTTCAGTTTGGTGATAAAATTTGCTATTGTATTTAAAATAGGTGGATTTTAAGCAAATTTTAATCAGCTCCATTAGATCATTGATTGAGAGTTTTGTCAGTTCATTTAGGTTATCATAATCTTGAAGTCTTTTTTTGATGATTTTCAGGGTCTCTTTTATGGGAACTTTTGTGAAAAGTGAGACAACATCAAAAGAAATCATTTGATCCCCTGGTCGTATTTTGATATTTTTTATTCCTTTCACGAATTCTTCTCCATTTTTGACAGTATATTCATGTTTCGAGGCTACTTTCTTCAAAATGTTGGACAACATTGCTGCAAGATTATATGTAGGGGAACTTCTGAAATCTACCACCGGCCGGAGAGGTGTGTCTGGTTTATGCACTTTAGGTGCACCGTAGATAAGTGGAGCTCTGGGAGTTTTTTGATTTATTTTGGAGTATTCTGCATCAGATAACTTTTCATTTGTTTTCAATGAACTTGAGTGGACTTCAATTAAATCTGTGAAATCTGGAGTAAATATTTTGATTTGAGTTGGCGTAGCGTAATCAGTATATGAAATGAGTTTTCGTCAATATACTGTCACGTTTGCGCCCAAACTATTCACATTCTGCTGCTTAAAATCAAAATTAAAAATATTCTCTGGTCTCTAGAAAATATATGCATTGTTGAGAAACACTGATAAATAACTATACAAACATAAACTTACTTATGTATTTATTATACGAGAAATTTCTGTAATGATATGGAAATTATGAAAAATGGTTTTGATAATGAATTGCTCATTGTATTCAAAATATTAAGGATAATCATGATTTCTTCGTATCCGTAGTATGGTAAATTATTTTACAAAGAAAAAACACACGGAATAAAATTTCGTAAAAATCTTAAGCTTATAATTAGTAACGTAATTTTCGATAACAAAATATTACAAAATCTCGTGACCATTATTAAAGTTATTTTACAATACGAAGAAATAATGAATACCCTCATTGACAAATGTGCAAAGTAAACTTTTTTCCCGATTTTCCACTAATTGCTTCTATGAAATTAAAATTAATATCATTCACACCTTTTCAAAAAACCTTTTTTTCCATTCAAAGTTCAGTCATCCTGAATTCGGACTGAGATTTTCATTCATATTCAGTAATTTTCTCTCAAATTCATTTCATTTCTCAATTTGCCCATGTATTAAGCATAGGGTGAAGAATGAAATAAGTGAGAAACCCTTTCATTCACAGGCATTCATCTGAAATGACGGAATCTTTCACTAATTTTCATTTGAATGACAGGAAATTCATTTTCATTCACTATCATTCTCTAGCATAATCGGTCACATGAATGAGAGTGAACACGTATGATTAATATGAGTCTGGATCGAGGTGTTGAAGCAAGCAGAAGTTCCCAACCCACCTTAGTGAAAAGTTCCTTTGTTCAAAATTGGATTTTTGTATCGAATATATCGTGGGGTCTAGTCATCAGCAAATCCGCCAGTCAACCCGTTAACCACTGCGAGAAAAATTTTCCGACCCAAGGGAGGGAACGGAAAGGGAACGGAAGCCGTCGCCTTCGATAGTCACAGTAGTCAGAACCTTCCGCCACAAGGGAACGGAAAGGGAACGGAACCCGTTGCCATTGCCAGCCACAGCAGCCAGAACCTTCGCCCCAAGGAAACGGAAAGGGAACGGAATCCCTTTACCTTCATTCGCACAACATGACTGACGATGAAATGAAGAGTCCCTCTAAAGGATCAAAATTACGTCATAACTTAACCCCATTCTCGACTCCAAAAGGACGAGGTTCGAAACGGCTCAAGGAAGACTATGAAGAAAATGACGACATCGAGCAACCCTCCAGTAGAGATCTCCTTCTTGCCCTCGCGAAAGATATAAGAGAAATAAAAACCGACGTGGCCGAGGTCAAGACGCGAACAAAGGATTGGGGCAAACAGATCTTGGTTCTCAACTCTCAAGTCTCTGCTCAAGCGAAAATAATTCAACACCAAAACACTAAGATTGACTCCCTGGAAAAAATAGTGGATGACCTTTACAATCAAGTCAACGCCCATCATCTTATCTTTAAAGGAATCAATGCCAAAGGTCCACAAGACGCTAGGGATCAGATTAGTAAAATCTACAACAACCTACTGTTGGTTCAGAATTAATATGCAGTAAAGTCCTCATAATTTTTTAAAAAGTCAAATGTCGTAAGTTATTGATTGCCATTAACAACTATTTAATTATTCTACTTTTTAAACGAAAATCAGTCGAAAGTTGGAAAATAATGGATTTTTAGACAAAATCAAGTCATGGAAAAAAATCGTCCGCCAAATAACCTTTCAGATTTTTTACTGCATATTAATTTTGAATGAACAGTAGGTGGCGCCACTCCCAACATTACTGACCTTCGAAAACTTGGAAAAAGTAACAAGATACTTGTGAAATTCAACTCTTCAAAGGATAAAAACTTTCTGTTCACCAATGCTTTGAAGCTTCGACCCCTTGGAATCTCAATTGAAAACGATCTCTCACCTTCACAACGGGAAATCAAAAATAATCTTCTACGGCTACGACGAGAACTGATAGATAATCGAGTGGCTTCCACTATAAAGGTTTACGCGAAATCTCTACTATTGGATGGTCAAGATTGGTACGATTAAGACAAGGCTACGGGACTTATTGAAAAACGTTCATCTGTCAACAACAAACCCCCACCCGCCCAACGCCAATGAGAACTCAGCCCGCCTTTTGCACAATCACATCATAAGGACATCTTGACAATGAACATTACTGCTTGGAATATCGACGGATTAATCAATAAGGATTATGATTTTTTTGAATATATGACGAAGGAGACCCCGGATATTTTAATTTTTCTCGAGACTTGGTGCACCGAAGAGGAAGCACGTGCTAAGCTCTCGAATTTCAATACTACTCATACACTAGTGTGTCAAGACGCGGAAAATTCTAAGAGAGGAAGAAAAACGGGAGGAATCATTATTGGAATTCAGAATAATCTACAATATGCTGTTATCACTAAAATACGTGGCTGGATTGAAATTACGGTACATAACATAATACATAATGAGGTACAATCATCGGATCTTACCTCGCACCTAACCTTGATGGAGAAACCGAATTCAGCGACCTTCTAGAAACAATTGTGAATACAAGAATACACTAATTATCGGCGACCTTAATGCGCGGATCGGTCTACTCCCAACCTCATTGAAGGTGAATACTATCCCAGACAATCACAAGACCTACAAATGAACGACCGTGGGAAACAATTAATGACAGCCGCCAGATCTGCGAATCTTGTAGTACTCAATGGATTTTGGAAAGGAGACCTAAACGGGGATATTACGTTTCAAAATACGAACGGTCGTAGCACAATTGATCTCTGCATTTCATCGGACTCAGTACTCGAACATATCAATCACCTTCGTATTAAGCAATCAATTGTCTCAACCCACCAACCAATTAACATCAACCTTTCCACCCAAATCCGGTCATCAACGCTATCCAGTAATGAAGGGATTGAAACTACTGTCATGAATAAGATCAAATGGGATCCCGAAAATCGCGCAGAATTTAGGAAGACGCTAAATGAAAAATGTAATGTTAGCAATGATATCCTGTCTAATGTGAAAAATACTCTTGACTCCCTCGGAATGACTCAAAGCACAAAACTCTCATCAACATACCGCCTAAAACCGAAGTGGTTTGACGACGAATGCAAACAAGGCAAATCTACAGTAAACAGAATGCTAAGAGTGGCAAGGAAATCAAACCCGCAAGAAGATCAAGAACAATACCAATCTCTGCGCGCAGCGTATACTAAGTTAAAGCGGGAGAAAAAGCAGACAATTAAACAACAACAGATCCAAAATTTGCTGAATCACAAAAACTCCTCAACATTCTGGGCATCTGTTCGTGAATTTAAACAATATTCCTCGGTCATTCATCCAATTGAAGCAGAAAAGTGGCATTCGTTCTACTCTAAACTATTTGAAAATAACAGCTGTCGCTTTGAAATTGTAAGGAAGTTCAAGAACTCGACCATGAAATATCAACATTTGAAGTCTCCCTCATTGTTAAAAAACTGAAGTTAAAGAAGACAGCAGGAACAGACGGGATCCCAAACGAAGTATGGAAAGCATTGACACCCGTGGCAATAAACCAGCTTGCAGCAAAATTCAACGATATATATAGAACTGGCGTTGTCCCTGATGACTGGACTCTTATAATGCTTCGTCCAATATTCAAGAAAGGTGACCCACAACTTCCGTCCAACTATCGTCCAATTGCGCTGGCTACTACAATCCTAAAAATCTTTACCACAATCCTCTCAAACCGCCTTCAGAGTTGGGCAGAAAAATATGGACACTTCTCGCCAATCCAAGCTGGGTTCAGGAAAAAGATGGAAACTCTAGAGCAAATATTCTGCCTATTAACCCTTATCCAATCTAAACTTCGAAATCCACGTGGGAAGTTATTCGCCATATTCATCGACGCAAAAATGGCATTTGATTCCTGCCTTCATGATAGAATGTGGAAAGTTCTGAGCAAGCGAGGAGTAAGTTCTAAGTACTTGAAAGTTCTGACTTCACTCTATAGTAAAGTGAGTGGACAAATTCTTACTCCAAATGACCTTACGTCATCTTTTCCATTTCAAAAAGGAGTATTACAAGGAGAACCGCAATCATCATGTCTCTTCAACTTTTTCATAGATGGTCTTGCACGACGCCTGCAAAAAAGTGGAATCTCGCCAATCAAAATTGGATCAATCGACTTCCATATACTAATGTTTGCTGATGATGTTGTTATTGTTGCTAACTCTGCGGATTCTCTTCAGGGAAAAATCAATGTTGCTGCAAAATTCTTTAAAGACCGTGGTTTACAGTGCAACATCTCGAAAACGAAAATTGTTATCTTCGCCAAGAGAAGATCCAGTGACCTCCCACCTTTCAAATGGAACGATGATACTGTTGAGATTGTGGATTCTTACACCTATCTGGGAGTGACAATGCACAGAAATGGGACCTTCAATCGAGCTTACAAGGAATTTAAAGAAAAAGCGACTGCTGCAGTGATGAAAGTCCTCAATATTACAAGAAGATCTGGTCTTCCGCCCTTATCTACGCAATTCAAATTATTCAACTCCATCGCACGATCAACTCTTCTTTATGGTTCATCCATATGGGCAATGAAATTCGTGGACAATATCGATAAACTGCAAATCCGTTTCTTGAAGAAACTGCTCAGACTTCCTCCATCTACTCCTGATTACTTTGTTCGATTGGAAACAGGTGCGCGGGACACAAGAGTGCAACATCTTGCTGACACATTGGGTTTCTGGGAAAGAATATCAAGAAAAAAAGAAGACTCCCCCGCAAGGCAATGTATGAACATGCAAATGAAATGGACACGCCACAACTCGATACCAATGCAAAGAAACTATTGCTGGGGCGATGATTTCCTTCATCTCCTCAAGGTCGCAAAATGTGAAAACCTCCCATCAACCTTGACGTCCCTTGTGACCATGCGTAAAACCCTCCTAATCAACTATGAGCTGCATCTTAAGAATCAGGACGTCTCGAGGATGCAAAACTCCAGCTTCATTCCACACTACAAACTCATCGCGCGATCGCGATATATATGAAAAATCGCGCGATATATATGAAAAATCGTTTTGGCAAGATTTAGCCATAAGTAAATACATACTTGCACATAGGTCTTTTTTTACTTTTTTTCTGTACACTTAGGTCTTTTCTGAATTGAGCATCGACTGCACTTCGGTCGTTTCTGAATTAAATACCGACTGCACTTAGGTCTTTTCTGAATAAAGCATCGACTGCACTTAGGTCTTTTATGAATTAGTACGACGATATGTAACCATTCATGATGTGCAAAGGCTGTTGGCTATGATGCAATAAATCAATTGTTATTGTATGATTAATATATGAAAAATAATGCCAGTATTTTTTTCTCAGCTTTCTCTGCCAGGGTCGCCAATATCCTCATTATCTACGGAATCAACAAAGGTACAATTTGGATTCATATTCAAAATTTAGTTTGCTTATGTAATATGTAAATATGTACATTCCTGCCCATGAACGTTTACATAGTTGCCACATCCATAAAAATTGTCTAAAAATGATGATATGGAAATGAAAATTTTTATTAATATTCCAATTAACCCCGAGTTTATAATTAGAATTTGGTCAGAAAAACTTGTTTGCAAATTTCTGATAAATGACAACCGTAAAATCGTATTTTTTTGATGCTCTCTGGTGCCATTAAATAGTTTTGGACGATTGAGAATTACCTAGTATATTTAAAATTATGACTTTCACTCACATTTTTCCAGGTATCCTACGCACTAGGAAAAATGGGAAACATTCTATTGACCCCAGAGTTGAGTTGTATAGGATATATAACGAACCAGTAAGTATGATAAGTTATAAATTATGTTTTTATATAGCTATAAATATACCTCGCAATTAGCACTTAATTCGTTGCAGTAATTTTGTAGCAGTTTGTCTACGACAAATATTAATGCAATTAATTTGTTTAATAGCAGCCAATCTATGTTGGAAATGTGTTCGAAAGGATGGGAAGCGTCGGCATGAGGGTGACCATACCTTTGGGGGATTATGTGGTCGATCTGGGGGTTATGTGTGGAGCGGGACCCCTCAAATCTGCTCTACACTTTTTACGCACTTGCCATTTGCTACTGTTTCCGGCTGTTGGGACGATGGTTAAACCCACAGTATCGACAATTTTTGGAAGTTGTGCACCGTGCCACTCGAAATCCTGGCGTCGGGAATATGGAGGAGTTGAGAATTTACGATTTTCAATTCACTTATTGGCCTCCTACTTTCACTTCCTTCGAAATGGCTTTACTACCAGAGCCCACTGGGTCCTTGGAGTGGTATTTAACCTGGTTACTGGCCAATACCATCGGCACCTTGGCCCTATACCCCGGCATTTTCGTCGGATGGTTCAACCAGGCCTCGCTTCAAGTAAGTGGAATTTTAAATTTCTACGAATATTTCGGAATGATTCCTCGGCATTAAAGTTGATACAACTGGGTACCAAAATTATACCGGTCACTAAAAATTTGCTGCTGATATGATAAAACTTTAGCATCGAACTATTATTACACCGTATTATTTATCAATACCACTTGGTTAAAGTCATGTGCATATCCATACCCAGGTTTTCACATCGAAAAATATTTTTCCAAAGACAAGTACGAAAAAGTGGAAATTATTGTTTTTACCGTCCAAAATGTGAAAATATGTTGACCCTTGTTTCTATTTTGGTGGAAAACTAATACGAGGGGAGGCCATTAAATAATGCGAATAATGATTTATCTCGTCAAAGAAAGGTATTTATTCCAATTCATTTTGCGGCTTTTCAACATAATCTCCTCCCAATTCAATACAACGCTTAGCTCTTTGTATCAGTTTCTTCATGCCTTCAGAAAAAAATTCTTTAGTGAAGCTGTTTACCATAGAATGCACACACGAGATAAGCTCGTTATCACTCTCGAATCTCCTTCCCCTGATAATTTTTTTCATATGTGGGAAAAGGTAGTAGTCACAGGATGCCAGGTCGGGAGAATATGGGGGGTGATCAATTTTCCAGAACGCAGATCGATCCAGCGCAGCTTTGACAATCTTAGCAGTATGAGACGATGCGTTGTCGTGAAGCAGGAAAAGTCCACCTTGCAGGGATCCCCTCCTCTTATTTCTGATGTTGTAGCGTAATTCCTCCAAGACTTTCACATAATGATTGGCATTCATTGTACTTCCTTTCGATATGTAATCCGTATGCAGAACTCCATTGGCATCCCAAAAAATAGTCGCCATAACCTTCCCTGCAGATTTCGTTGCTTTTGCCTTGATTGGGCCACTTTGACCAGTAGTCAGCCACTGCATTGATTGTTGTTTTGTTTCGGGATCATAGTGGTGGATCCATGTCTCATCCCCAGTAACGATTTTGGTGTGAAAGTTGACCGGATCCAATTGGCATAAATTTAACAGGTTCCGACAGCATCGCACTCTTTCCTCTTTTTGTGCTAGTGTAAGCAGGCGTGGAACCCAACGAGAGGATAGCTTAGAAAGCCGAAGTTTTTCATGTAGAATGAAACCTACGCTACCACGTGAAATCCCCATTTCCTCAGCTATTTGGTTGATAGTAACACGCCTATCCTGCATCACAAACTCTTGGACTTTTGAACACGTGAACTCATCAGTGGCTGAAATTGGTCGGCCAGGTCGGGGTTCATCTTCAACATTTTTTCTTCCACACTTAAACTCAGTCACCCAACGAGAAACAGTACTATACGACGGAGTACTATCACCGTAAACTTTGTGTAATTTTTCAAAAATTTCGGTTGCCGAAATGCAAAAAACCGTATGGTGGAACGAACCTCAGTTTTCTGAAAATCCATTTTTGCTTGTGATGTCTGACTTTGCTCAGAGATTGTGAAAGAATGAGATATCGGAATCTTATGATTTTTGGAACACAATGTACAGGATATATGTAGATTGAATGGACGAAATCTGAGCTTTGTATCTTATCTTTGAAGGGTAGATTCGCATTACTTATTGGCCTCCCCTCGTATAATAATCAATATTCTCGCAACTGGAGTTCATATTCGACATCTCCATGAATTTCTCAAAATATTCACATAAATACGGGCACTTTTCAACAGTTTGAAGTTTTGGCTGGTTTTATGGAATTTTTAAGATTTGGCTCAACTCATTTTTTCAAAATTAAATAAAAGCCAATTTCCCATCTATTTTTTAGGTAGATGATAAAAAGTACATTTTCCCACTGACTTTTAAATATGTACATAAGTATGTACATATGAAAATATATATAAAAATGTACATAAAAATGGACATTTTTATGTACATATGCATGTACATAAGTACGTACATATGCATGTAAATAAATATGTACAATCCTGGTATTCTGGAGATATCGACTGATTTACACATTTCAGTTTGAATAATGAATTTATAGCATTCGGTAATTGAGTACTACACAGTAACTTCTATAAATACTAATTACATGATAATCTAAATACGTACATACATGTGTACACATGTATGTACATATTTTGCAAACTTTTTTACTACATCGCATTGATTGCTTATCAATGCTATTTTGGTAAAGTCGTAAATGAATACCGCTTGGAATTATTTTGATACTGGATTTTTAAGACTGTTGGTGTACTAAATTTTGCTTTGTTATGTGTCTTTATGTATTTTTTTAATTTAAGAAGGGTTACTTTAAGTTTTTAAAAACCGTTTTATATGCAAAATCATACTTTTGTGTGCACAAATCTTCATGCAATCCGTATTTATTCTTATAGGATCATAGGGCCCGACGGATCTAGGGACGCAACGGAGTCCGATCCAAAATAATTGCCTGCGACGGAATTCAAATTGACATTTTATTTTATGACAGGAGAGCGTAAGTTTAAATCACATTTAATTATTTGAAGATAATGAATGTCAGTTTGTGCCAATCGTTTAATTTGTACGTATTCCGTCTAATTTGATCTTACTCAAGATAATTGTCACTTTTGCCCAAAGAAATTTCACAAACATACATACATATTACATAATTTCTTAAAATCTTTTACATATATTTCTGTAATCAGTTACCATTCAAGAATTCTCAAAATTTATCTGTCATAATTATGCAATATGTATTTGTGCGAATTTGGCTTGGCCTTTAAGTAATATGAATTACACCATATATATACCGATGGTGCCAAATTGACATGCATAATTACTTAATTTCTGCATGACTAATTAGCTTTTATCCGATTTACATACGCAGAACTCCCTACACACGTACCGGGAAAATTCTGGTTATTTGTCTGGAGGGTAACTCCTCTTTTTCGGAACATGCCTTGAATCGAACCGCAATTGACAAAGGCTTTTCTGTTCTCACCTACAACAGACCAGGATTCGGGGAAACTATTTTCCTTTTTTTTCTGAGATTTTAATTATCCTGATTTTACACACATAAATATATTAAATAAGTACTCTACTCTGCGATACAATTCATACTTCTAACGAATAATAAATTTATGTATAAGGATTAAATATCTCCAGGGCCTTCCGTAACCCCAAAATGAATTGAACGCTGGCGAAGGTGTCCTAGATTACGCTATCAATCTACTAGGATTTCCCGAAAATGAAATATTCCTCTATTCCTGGTCTATTGGGGGTTTTGTCGCGTCTTACTTGTCTGGTCATCACCCTAATATTTCAGGACTTGTGAGTCATTTTTTTATAAATTTTAATGATTTGGGTAAATTTTGAAAGTATGAAAATAATTCTTTACTTTCGCAGATACTCGATTCCACCTTCCATCGGATCTTGCCGGTCGCACTGCACCAGACACCGGATTTTACTTCAAATATTGGTTAGTTTAATATCATCAACTTGATATTTATCAATTTTTAGAGACTTTCACCCATATTTTAATGTGAAGAAATTTTCCATATTTTATAATACGAACTAGCACGCTATTAATCTTTGAATGATATTTTTATATAGTTGTAGAATCCTCAATTTTTGATAATTATTTCAAAATTGCAAGAGATATTCAAAAATGCATATGTATTAAAACCTAAAATTCGTAATTATGCAATTATATGTGGGCATACCTGTTCAAAAATTTAGTTTTCATTCAAAAGTCAGTCATCCCGATTTCTGACTGAAGATTTTCATTCACATTCAGCCACTTTCGTTCAAATTCATTTCATTTCTTACTTTGTCCCATGTATTAAGTATACGGTGAAAGCTGAAATGAGTGAAAAATCATTTTATTCACATTCATTCATCTGAAATGACGGAATCCTTCGGTCATTTTCGTTCGCATGACAGTGAATTCATTTTCATTCATTATCATTCATTATCATTATCAGTCAAATGAATGAAAATGAACAGGTATGCATGTGAGACATTTTCCGTTGAGCGGTAAATTAAATCCACAGCTACAAATTATTTTTCAGAATTTCTTTCGATTTAAAATTTTCATAAATAATCCAAAATTTATCCAAATGTTAGAAATCCCTTTGCGTATTTACTTTAAGGATGAAATCCACATTACTCTTATCATGAGGCATTTAGACATTTCTTAAAAATTGTGCTTCTAAAAAAGACAGACTAGCCTTGAAAAACATGTAAATTTTAAGACTAGTTTTCCTTAACAATGCATTTCTTATTGAAAAAATGTATGTATGTTTTTTTTGCGCATAGTTCGGATGATAATCGAAAATCACTTCGATCTAAATATCAGTGCAGAGTTGAGAACTTTTAACGGTCCACTCAAAATCATTCGTAGACCGGAAAATGAGATAATGTCATCTCCCCCAAGGAACCTGCAAGGGAACCGAACCAACGTCTTCCTAGCTGATGTGCTGATGCAACGCTTCCCGCTTTTATGCAATAACAACACTGCCCTGCAAGCTTTAAGATTGTATTTGACTCAAGAACATCTTCGAAGTAAGTCCACAGTATTTTGAAAATTTTGAATTTAACGGTTTCAACCCGGGTTTCGATTTGTAAAAATCAAATTTACCAGGGCAGTAAGAAGAAATGGGAAAATAACACTTTCACCACACCTGTTCAAAATTTGTCAAAAAATATTTCAAAACTGTTGGTTATGATTCCTGGATTCATAGCAAATTATAAACACCATAATACAAATACATAATACAAAAACCTATAAAATGACGGGATCTAACCCCCAATGGGGGGGATTAATATTAACGTAACGCAAGGCAAGACGAAATTAATGTTATAAAAAATTCGCCATTACACAGGTGGGTAAACTAAAATGGTGCGCCCTAAAGGAAAATCCATCCCACAGGAAATTTGTCAAAAAACATTTCTAGGAAGTTTATGATTTCAGAACTCGTAACAAATTACAAACCCTTCAAATTTCACGAACTAACCACCAATGGGAGGTATTAACAGGAGTGTACCGCAAGGCAAGACCAAATTACTGTTATTAAAAATTGGCCATTGTACACTGATGGGTTAGCCTAATTGGTGCGCCCCAAAGGAAAATCCAGCCCACACCAGATACGGAAATTTGTCAAAAAAAATTCTAGGAAGTTTATGATTTCAGAACTCGTAACAAATTACAAATCGTTCAGCGGCCAACCTATCCCGCCGGCAACCCGATGGTCATGCGTTCGTCACAAATATCATCAAAACGTGACGAAAAGTTAATTTTACGTGGAAATTCCTTCAGCTTGTTTAACAAGTCATGTATTGTGGTCATTTTGGTATAGGTGTCGACCCTTAACCCGTTGGACACCCCGGTATGTTCCCTTTTCTTTCAAACTCATTTTATTTCACACCATCTGACTTCATTGCTTACTTCGCCCTATGTGTTAAGGATAGGGTGGAAAATGAAATTAATGAAAAATCTGTCAGTCACAGTCATTCATCTGAAATGACGGAATCTTTCACTCATTTTCATTCAAACCACAGGAAATTCATTTTCATTCACTATCATTCCCTATCAAAATCACGTTCTCAATCATAGTCACATGAATGAAAGTGAACAGGTAGGGTAAAATAAAGTAAAATTTTATTAGCTCATAATTTTACAAAATTCTGCGAAATTTCTACCGCAAACAATTCTAAGAAAATTAATATCTCCGGCAGCAAAATTTTGGATTGTTTATATTTTATTTCATAATTTAATACAACAGAAAGACTTGGATGTGGAATGATAATTCTGGCAAAATTGTACATTTTAATAAATTTTAAAGATAAGCTGAAATACGAGTAAGATTTCATGCAGCAAAAATTCTAGAATTTTATTTTTGGTTTTATTTCATTTCATAATTTATGAACTTCACACACCAAATATCAAGAAATATGATCGATCAAATAAAGTAAAATTTCATAAATGATTTTACAAAAATCTAGAAATTTTACACCCTTCAGCGATTTACAAAATAATACATAAAATGTATTATTTTGATGGTGAATAACAATTCTGTCAAATTTTTACAATATTTATTTACAAACGTCAAAGATACAATAAAGTAAAATTTCATTAATTATGATTCAATTTTATTAAAAAATAATTTCCAGCAGCAAAATTGGTTTTCATTCCATAATTTAAAAAACCGTATTGGATCCCGAATACAAAATTCGTTCAAAATTGTGCAATCTTAATTATTTTCAAAGATGTTGTACACGCAAAATAAAACAATCGAAAATAAGTAAAATTTCAAATTTTATAAAATTCATAATTTTATAAAAAAAAATCAAAATTTCCACCCCCTAAAAGATCTCAGCAGTAGCAGAAGCACACAGTTCCGACGATTCCATCCGTGGCCGCGGCCGCTTTCGTGCAATTGTTCGGGTTCGATTTGCACTTTTCTTTGCAGATTCCGAGCAGCGCGAGGTCGTTCGAGTTCATCCCGTCTGTCGAATACGTCTCCGTTTGCAGCAGCAATTGACACGCGTTCGGAACTCCGGACTGGAAATTAATTGACACAAAACGTTGAAGGTTTTTCGAACAAATTTGAAATATGAATCTCATTATATGAACACAATTTTCGAATTGCGAAAAAAACGGTGACAGCGCCTTAATCGGAAATTTTGGTATGAAATTGCGCTTTAGATTTGAAATTACCCAGAAATAACAAAATTTTCGAATTGCAAAAAAATGGTCAGAGCGTCAATTTTTAATGCGAAACTGCTCTTCAAATTTAAAACTAACGGGAAATCACAAAATTACCGAATTGCAAAAGAAAATTGCCATAGCGTCGTAATCGGAAATTTTCTTCTCAAATTAAAGTTAGGAATTAATTATACTGCATTGCAAAAAATGGTCATAACGTCATTATAGATAATCCGAAATTTGGGAAATTTAATACTACTTAACAATTAATTATCGGATTGCAAGAAAATGGTAACTTAAACCTCTCAAATATCAAATTACTCACCGGATTGCAGAAACACGCCCCCGTCTCCAAATCGCACCTGCCGCCCACACCAGGTGGACAAAACTGCGCGCAACAGTGGGGACTCGCTAGAAATACGGAACACGGTCGGATCGTCGCGTCCGCAGGGAGGTTTTGAATCTGCGAAAACATAATTCATTTTAACCAATGACGTAATGATTCATTGCCAAAATCTTCAAAACCAATGATTTCTCGCCTCTAGGAACTTATCTTAAAATTCTGAAAGACAAATTTGTAGAGCAGGTCGTTCCCAATTTTTTAAAGAAATATACACTCCAGATTTTGACACTGCTCAAAAAACTCAACGCCATTCCATTAATCAACTCACTGATGGCAAATTTTTCGTCCAAAATTTTAAAATAAGTTCCCGGAGGAGAGAAATGATTAGAATTATCACAAAATCAACATTAAAAAGTGCTGATTTTGCGACAATTTTTTCGACGAGTTCCAATTTTTCTGAAGGTTTCCTAAACTTGAAATCTCCTCCTTCAAAAAGTGTCAAAATATGGGATGTATATTTTCAAAAAATTGCCAACTCCCTGCTCTACAAATTAGTCTTCTAGAATTTTAAAATAAATTCCAATCGGCTAGAAATTATAAAAAATGTGGCAATTTTCACATGCAAGTCGTACTTTTACAAAATTTCCTAAAAATTTTCTCCTAATTTTTATTTCCTTACGATTTTATGTCCCGTTGAAACGCTCGTGTTACACAGTAATCCGGTCGGATTTACTTCACAGGCTAAATTCGAGGCTCCACTGGAGTACTGGCCAATCGTGTCGAGGAGCGAGGACCCTGACGACGTCGGCGGCAGGATCGTCGTCGGGATGACGATGGACGGTATGTTCAGCGACACCACGTACGTCGCGATGACCAAAGTTATCGAGGCAAAATAGAGCCACGACGATGCCATTTTCACAAATTTAATGTGTTATCGACTCAAAATGTGGACGATTTCTCCCCCAAATTTAACTCATCACAGCTCTAAATATCATCTTATAGAGCTTAATCTATGCTAATTTTCTTGCAAAAGTCATAATAATGTCACCCTGGTGGAGGTCGATGATGGATAGTAATTTATAGATTATATAGAATAGATTCATTCATATGCTAATCTAGTGTTAAGATCGAATGAAGAGATGACGACGATGACCAGAGGGCGGATATGTATGTATGTAATTATTTTCAACTTTTTCATTTGATTCCGACCGACTTTGTGGGTGTGTTCCAACCAGAGTTGGGAACTAATCCGGATTTTCCAATGTTAAAGATAGAGGGATTATGGATTAGGGATTGACAATTTAAATACATTGAGTAATCCGGATTAGTTCCCAACTCTGGTTCCAATTCGCATAGATAACAGAAATTTTAAAATATTTTTTACATAAAATATATAGGATTTCAGACGTTTGAATATTTTCGCTAATATTTCAAAAATATGTAAATCTTTTAGATATTTTTATCAAACACACCTACATATATCTCATAAATTAACAGGTATTTCAACGATCTAACACGAAATTTTTTAGCTAAAAAAATTGAATCCCAAAAATCCAGACGATTAAATTCAAAAGCATAAACATTTCGAAAATTCTTGCTTATACATACATAATTTTTTCGTACACATTTCGTAAATATTTTGATGTTTTCTTTCCCTAAATAATAACTAGGTACATATTTCAGTGAATAATACATATCCGTCCTGTGAATATTGCGTATGTTTAATGGGTATTTTACAGGATGAATGGACGGGATTAGGTCATTTTTACTCCTCAGCTTTTACATAATGCAGGAGGCGATGCAAATAAATGATAACGTAGATATCATTGACAGCGTCCTCATGAGTTCAAATCAAGATCAGGCAATTAAGTTAATTAGCCTTTAACGTTGACTTAGGTGACTGTGACGTCACAGGTCTAAAAATCTGCACATTTTTATTCATTTCTCGGCTCTAGGAATGTATTTTTAAATTCAATCTGGTCATTTTGTAGACCAGATCAGTACCAATTTATTAAAAATATGCACTCTAGATTTTGAAAAGTTTTGTAGAAAGAGACCCAAAAAGAGTGAATGCCTTCAGAAAAATTGGGTCTCCTCCTTCAAAACTTTTCAAAATCTAGAGTGCATATTTTTAATAAATTGGTATTGATCTGATCTACAAAATGACCAGATCGAATTTAAAAATACATTCCCAGAGCCGAGAAATGGGTAAAAATGTGCAGATTTTTAGACCTGTGATGTCACAGTCAGCTAAGTCAACGTTAAATCAAAACAAGAGTTGAAGGTTGGTTACATGAGGATTAATAAAAATACCACTCTTTAATTTTAATTTAATAATACTCAAATCTTTTACGCATTATTTTCGTGTGTACATACTTCGTAAATAGTTTGACGTTTTTTTTATAAGTACATATAATTAAATACAAAAATAGCGATTTTTCGTAAATACATATCCGCCCTCTGCCAATGATTATACATAGAAAAATATATTAACGCCGCACATCCTCAAATGCCACGGGTTTCATTGTGCAAATAAGTATTCAAATAGGTATAAGTAAAGAAAGAAATCGTCCAGATTTTCGTTATCATAAGAATGAAGGTGGTGTATTAATTGTCGTTTTATTTTTACGTTTTTATGTACATGTTTCTCTACTAACATAGTCGATCTTACTTACTTACATAAATCGAATCAAACATTCAGAACCCAGACGTACAAATTGTGTCACACAATTGGATAACCACCTGATTTAAATAATTAAGTCGCACGTTACCAGTTACATATAAGTAATTTAGTTTTGACAATAATTTTGGTTAAGAATTTATTCATTTTTGGATCAATTAGTTAATAATTATTTAATAAGTTCAATGTTTCTGTCCTCTATCAAAAAAAACTCATACTTTATAATGGCACAACTTTTTATCAAAATACATATGTTCAATTGGATAATAAATATTGTTACCGACTGAAAATAGCCCTATGAAATAGACCTATTCCTATTTGGACTTTTGATAATTTGGACTTTGGACAATTTTGCCTGATTTTCACCTATGTATATTTATGTTGACCCTGCCGTATAATTTTTACTGTACAAAAACACCAAAACAAATTTTGAAACTAAAAGTTCGGTGCCATTGAACGTGAAATAAAAAAAATATATTTACAGTGAACGAAAGATATAATAAGGAGTTCCAACTTTGTTAAAAATTCGTTTTTTTTCACTCTTTCACAAAACGCTTTTTTCTCAATTCCGAGTGCGATTTCGAAATTTTTTCCAATATTTTTGCTTAAAAACAAAATCAAGGTTAAAATAATTTTATTTTTGGGCCAAAAGAGTGAGAGAAGAACGAAATCGTATGCGAATTGGGAAAAAAGTGTTTTCAAAAAGAGCGAAAAAGCGATTTTTTTACAAAGTTGGGAATCCCTAATGAATGAAAATCCACAACAAAAAAAAACACTTTTTTCTACAAATTTTCCAAATGTATTGCTTTTGCTTATGTATTCTCTAATACAATTTATTGGTAGTTTTGATGACTACAATTCTGGTTAAGAATATTTAGACTCGTATTCTGGTTCATTATTATTTAATATTTTGTCCCCACAAAATACGTTAGCGCAACTGTCTTACCATCAATTTTTCATAAAGTAAACAACGTTTTTTAAAATTGTAGTGTCAGTTTGACTTACGTAAAATTTAAGCTTTACATATTATTCTTAACCTGGAAACATATTTACTGACACGATTTGAAGTAATCTGTTTCTGATAAGTTGGACGCCGAAAACTGGAAATTTTGAGAAATATTAATATTTCGTATGAGCAAAGATACGTAATTTTTCTGCTAATTTCCGAAATTTGGACTTTTTATACAACTGCTTTAATTTATTCGCTAATATAATTTAGTTCTGACACTAATTTGGCTTAAGAATATTTAGATTTGTACTCTGATTAATTAGTTTTCAATATTTTGTTCACATAAAAAAATCGTTACACAACTTTTTTTTACCAATACCAATTTTGCATTCGATTGTACCGATTTGACTTAATTAATATTTACATACATGAAATTTAAGCCTAGCATATTATTTGCAGATTGTAAGAAAATATGCAAAGTTGGACGCCAGAAAGTGGAAATTTTCACATTACTATTTTTCTCATGCTTTCACCACTTTTAACTTGCGCCCAGTTTATACTATACTTTCGCTGCTGAATAACGTGCGTAACCTTTTATCAATAACCTTTTTTCTTGCAAAACTTGGCTCCCAACGGTTACAAGTAAATATGCATATTTAATATGAGAAATGATTTTAGGAGTGATTTTAGGTATTTTTTGACACAATCTATGGGGGATTTCACGTCAAGTTCGTAACCTACGTAACTGCGTTAGGTTTGTAAGTTTACACACTCTTGACGTGAATTGACTTTGTAAACATTTTCGTAAACATTTTTTGGTAAAAAATGTCGTATATAAAACGACATCAAAATGTTGCTAGCCAACTTTTCCCTAGCTTACACGAAATGAAATTTTTGATTTTTTTGCCTAAAATATCAGTTTTTCAGGAATTACGCAGCCATTTCATATGCCACAAAATTCTATGATATACCAAAATGATCGTATGATCAAGACCGATCGATTGACACCCCACTGGATGGAATGTGTCAATTTAACCCATATTTGACTTTTGGGGGCCGGTTGGATAGCGACCAATGAATGTTGATGGGATCACACAAAATTTATAATACGCAATTAGTTTCTAGGACAATTTCAACCCAAAATGCATATATCAAACTCGAATTATTTACGAAATTTTGTTTACGAACCAAAAACATGCTTTTTAAGTGCGTAAGATTCGTAAAAGTTCGTAAGATAATTTTCCTTAGAAATGTGTGTGAAAGTTCGTAAAAGTTTGTAATCTTATAAACCTTACGCAGTTACGAAGGTTACAAACTGTGACGTGAGTTCCCTCTATGTTTTTCAAAACTGGGTTAAAACTAATATTTATTACAAAATGAGTAAAAAGATGCCATTATTTTCAGGAAGTTTTTTTTTCTCGAAAAAATATAAATCTTCGAAATTTTTATTAATTAATAAATAATATTAACATTAATATCTTAAACTCTTTTTTGCACACTCTCACTCGCTTCTGATTTTTCCCCTCATTTTCCATATTTCTTCCCTGCCCTACGACCAGCAGACAAATCTTTAAAATCAATTTTTTTTTCTGCAAGACCCAACACTTCATAATAAATGTTTAAAATGTATAAAAAAAAATGATGTGATGTTCTAAAAAGTATAAATTTTCGAAATTGTCTATAATTATTTTCCCAACAGAATTTCCTGTTATTTACTATATTTCTATATTGTAGCATTTTTCACTGCAAAAGTATTCAAAAATTTTATTTCCGTGACCAAACTTGAGATTTCCATATTTTTGACAAGTAATATATTGTATTTTCCACAATTCTCACTTCAAAAAAACTTCAAAAAGTCATACAAAACTACAAAATCTGAATTTTTTTCATCACTGATCGCACATATTTCAAGTTGTCAATCCAAGGAAATTGTAATTTTCTGGGTGAAAATTATCGAAAATATTATAAAATTTTCAATTAAATTACGATAACGTTAGAAAAATTTCATAAAATAATTCATGACTTTGCAAACTTTAGTTTCCTCTCCGAACAAAAAAACTCATCATCTATTTAAGTACTTTTTAATGCAAAGTCTTACAACAATTTTATCCAGAATTTTACATCGACTCCCAAATCATACATTTTTTCATAATTTTATTCTATCTTGGAAATTAAAATTATGATTAATTCAAATTTAGATATGAAATTTTCTATGAAATTTCAAATTTCGTCATTTTACATGCCTCAGTTCCGACGTTTATCTAGAATTTGTACCTTAGAATCCTTTAAAAGTTGTAAATTTTATCCAATTTTTTTCAATTTGCAAATATTTTTCAAAACTTTTATTTAATT